TTTAATTGTCTTGACTAATGCCGATATTGCGGATAATTAACCCTAGCACACTGGGGTCCCAGAAATCCCGCCCAATGCAATTTGCTAAATCGAGATTTTTTTGTGTTTCTGAACTTTCTTTTTCTTTGAACCTTATTATATATATCTCGAAGCTCCTTTTAATTCTATCGAGTTTTACACATTATGGATTTATTCCTTAATCAATTCTCCATATCATTGAAAAAAAATTAATTAAAATATATCCTTTTATGAAAATTATGGTAACAAATATTTTCTATTTATAATATTTATTTTATTTTTTTAATGTAAATTTGTATCATTGCACCAACTATGGAAATTATAAAAATTCAAAAATGTAGATAATTGGAATAAGATGATGTTATATTTAAATAAGGTTTATAATAATTTACATTTTCGTAAATTAAAAAATATAAAAATATATTAAGTAAATTCGCTGTTTCAATAACATAAATCGTATTATATGCAAATATAAATTGGATTTCACGGATTATCTTATTTTTCTTCATTCTTAACCATGATATAAAGCCACAATTATAATAAATAATGAGCATTCCAATTTAGATGAAATATATGTGATTCTTTTTATAATGTAATAATACTTAATTATAAGAATGTGATCAGTAAGTTTCCTATCATTATCATACTTGAATAATACATATCATTGATGTAAAAATCACTATCGTTAATCACGTTAAATTATTCATTCTCAGAGTTTAATTGCATCTAAGTTCTATTAATTTGATGTATAAATATGATCAAAGAGTTTCCATTTTTTTCCTAATATTCAATATTAAAAATCACATAAACATAAAATTATATGAAATTATGTAAAAACTGTATAAATATTTTCTCTGAACAGCGCAATTTGTACTTATATCTGCTATCTTGTATTATACATATATCAGAGAGAAACCTGATAAGAGTGGATCACGTATGTCCCGGCCTTTTCGTGTACCAAATCTCGTAGGATAATGTCCACGTTTTATGGTTCTCTTCCGTGCTATTACATGGGTTAAGCCTTGTGTCCACGATGCTAGAAATTGGTCCGAGATCTCGGAGAGAGAAAGAATTAACCAATCACATTTAAACAATTTAGTCACTTGATCAATGCGATTGGTCAATTCTTTCTTCATCCGAGATCTCGGACGGATTTCTAGCATCGTAGACACTGGGCTTTAGACAAGGACTATCAAAGTTAATAATTCATCCTTGTCTAATCCATACAATAGCATGGAAAAGAACCACAAAAACGTAGACTACGAGGTTTGATATATAAAAAAGATCGGCATAATAACCACTCTCAGGTGTGTCTCTGGTTATATAAAAATTATCTTGAACATAAAGTAAGAAAAATATTGCCGTGTTTATTTTATATATACATTCTGTTTAAATAGGAAATTTACTTTGATTATTGAACGATCTATTTTTATTTATAAAAGGAATTGTTTTAGGAGATACAGCTATAATCATGTAAATCACAACTTCAATATTTTATTAATAGTGATTTATTATTATTGCTATCAAATAAGCATCACGATAATTTTTTGCGTCGATAACGCGTATGATATAAGGCGCATTCCTTAGAAAAATAATATGTATAAAAAGTGACATTATGTGACGTGTAACGGATTACAATCATCTGTTCTCTCTTTTTCTGGATTTTATATCCTTTTGCTATTTATTTTATGTAATACTGCGGTAATTCAGCGTTTTTATACGTAAGAACGGAAAAACTGTTTCAGCCAAAAGATATTCAGCTGATCTCTGCCATAGGAGTACGGGCTGTAATCTGCTAACGGATAATCGGTATAAATCTGTGAATAAAATCGAGATAAACACGATGATGCTACGTGCATATCGAGTTAACTGCAACAACTTTGCGGTTTAGGATCCAAGCCTGAACGTTTAGTAATATTTATGCGTGTAAACTCCTCCGCTACAGTTGGATGAATACCAACAGTAGACTTCAGTTTCGGGATTGTTAAGCCACATCTATAAAAATATAATAAAATATGAGTTATGGAATTCTGAAAATTTTTGAAGAAATTATTGACGAATCATTTTTTGGATAGAACTTACTTAATAGCAGCTGCGAATCCTTGAATCACTTCGCCTGCGTTGGGTCCGACAAAGTGCATTCCGAGCACCGTTTCATCGCCATGTCTAAGCGCAATAACCTTCACGTAACAACGATCGACGTTCTTCTGGGGTACAAAGAATTCCGTTGGTTTGTAGTACGCGTGAAAAATCTCTATCTCCTGTTCTCCGTGGAGCACGATTGCCGCTTCTTCGCTCAACCCGACGCATCCATATTCCAAAGGAGTGAATACTGTTGTCGCTACATTTGTGTAATCCATTTGCTCGGTTGAATTACCATACAATCTTCTAGCTAGCAGTTTACCCGCGTGTATAGCAACGGGCGTTAATTCAGGTTTTTTCTGCAAAAAACATCCAAAAAATAATCATGTTTTATATTACATTAAAACTTTCTATTATATATTTGTAATTTAACTCGTAATTTAATATGAGAAATATTAAAATGATAAAAATATCTAGAATTATCTAAATTGTGTTCTAACATATTTTCGATATAAAATCATAAAATATTGAAAAAACTTACATAAAGTACGTCGCCAACCGCGTAAACGTTTGGAACATTCGTTTGTTCGTTAACTGCGTCAATCTTACCAGTTTCTGTAACAAGTTTCAATCCGGCGTTTTCCGGTTTCAGTTCTTGAGTAAGCGATCGTCGACCGATAGCAAATAGAACAGTATCATACACGTCTTGATGAATTTGGCCATCCTAAAAAAATTATATTTTATTACACTCTAATGTAGACTAATTTTTTCATTTGCACATATAAGTTTGTCAACAAATGCATACCTTGTCGATCCAGTCAGCTAGAAGACGGCCATCCTCTTGTTTTGAAACTTTCTTAAGCTTTGCTTGATAATTAAACTTCACGCCGCGTTGCTGCATCTCATCGGCAATATGGGTTGCCATTTGCTGATCAAATCCACGCAACACCAACGATCGAATTATTAGCGTTGTATCGTAACCTAAGCCATTAAGAAAGCCGGCACATTCCAGACCAATATCTATATCTTATCATTAAGGAAAATTTTAATCTGCACGTTTGCATAATTACAATAGAAAATCTAGAAACAAAATCGCGTAAAATGACGTTAAAGGATACATCCAGCGCCGATAATAAGAGTTTTCCCTGGAGCACGTTCCAAACTGAAGATATCGTCGCTACTTATACCATATTCTATAGCACCAGGAATATCGGGATATCTAGGTCTACCACCTACTGCAATTAATATATTTTTAGCTGTAAGAACTTTTTCTTCCCCCTTCTTGGTAACTCCAACTACTGTGTGTGCGTCTTTGAAATGTCCAAGAGCGTTGAAGTATTCAACTTTCCTACAAGTAAATATTTAATACAGATAAATATATACAGATCGAGTAAACAAAAATTAAATAATACAGATATGAATAACATAAATTAATACATGAAGATGAATAATATGGACATTAATTGATATATAAACAGAAAAATTAGAAAACAATTAACTTTGTCCTAAGCTCAACGCGAGTCACCCAGTTCACAGACTTGACATGATTTTGTACAGCGGTTCTCAAGGCTTCCCAGTCAATTTTTACAGACTTGGGATCCAACTGCCAACCGAATGTTGCTGCTTCCTAAAAACGAGATTCACAAATTAGACATGAATCTTTTACATCACTTTAATTACAATAGCTGCTTTCCATTTCTACTCGATGGTACAAATATGAGAAACTAAAGTTATGTATTTTATATTTGGATAGATGTCACTACTTGCTTAATTTAATGATAAGGTTACCACATAACACAGGTTTATAATCTCATTTTTAATATGGTTTACCAAGCCTCAGTAAAGCATGCAGTCCCAAGTTTGTACAGATTGTAGGTAAAAATTCAGTTGACTCTCACTTGTCAAAATGAAAAGAAATTTGCATTCAACAGAGTTATGACTTTAAATGAGAATTATCTGAGTTTTGATGTAAATGGAAAGCAAATAATAATTAGGAACATTTGTATACATGAACAGCTTCACCGAGCAATGCAGCTTGATGCATGAGTTTTTTCGGTATACATCCTACGTTGACACAAGTACCACCCAAACCCCAAGTAGTCCCAAGAGGAGAAGGAGTCACATAATCCAAAACTGCTACCTTCGCTCCCAGTCCAACAGCTTCCTTAGCTGCTGCCAAGCCACCAGATCCTCCGCCAATGACCAAGAGATCATAATCATAGCCATGATCCGCTGAAAAATGATTTGACTTTTTAATGAAAAATGACTTTTTAAAGAGGTAAATTCTAAAAAAAATTAAGCGTTACACAGCGTTATAAAAAATAAAAGTTTTCCATGGACAACACGGACGTCTAAAAAAACAACGCGTAGAGGACATGTCAAAATCTGTTATCCTTTGACATAAATCAGAGATAAACAGTCGTGAGGAACATTCGAGTTCGCGCGCCAGCCGATGACGCAATTTTTACACAACGAACCGCAATCGTAATTATTCTCAGTCATTCCCCTAAACACTCACTGCACATGCAGGCCATCGCGCTTCTGCCGTAGACGAGACCGGCGTCGCATCCGGCAAAGAGCGACTGCCGACCCGTTAACCTGAGCAACTTGGCGTGCGCACATTGAGATGACACGAGCCGCGCGAACACCGTCAGTGTCGCCATGATAATCGGCGACATACAATGATGCAATTCACGATTGTCGGAGCACGTGACGTCAGCTGTCAGTGACGCTCCGTGCTGCGCACCGACGAGAGTGAGGACTGTGAGGACTCCGAAACGCGTATCATTGCGCTAAGTTAGCCGCACGAACACCCCCGCCACCGCGCTCTTCGACCGCGGTTCACCACAGTTCACCACGACGCCGGTCGTCCGAACGTCTTGGTGGTCTTGGTATCCGGAAACCGAGCGCGATGAGATCGATCCTTATAACTGGCTGCAACCGCGGTTTGGGCCTTGGCCTGGTGAGGCATCTGGTCGACTCACCGAGACCGCCAGACTACATCTTCGCGACTTGCCGTGACGCGAACAAGGCGACGGTAAGATCGCGGGATGGGACGGGATACATCCCGTTTTGTTTCGTTTGTTCGAATCGAAAAAAAGACTGTCACTAATTGTCACGCGTTACGCAACTTATCTATTTTGCAGAAAAAAAACGGTACTTACCGATCGGTGCCATCGCGACTCTTTTTGCTCCTTTCGTAAAAGAATAAATTTTTTCCACGATTTATCTTACGCGTCACTGGAATGTCAAAGTGTTAAAGTCTCTTGTCGTTTGACCCTACTGAAGTTCAGTAACTGAACTCGATGCGAGCCGCGAACGATGGTTAAACCACACTGACACCGCGACGTCACCGGCGAACGCGTCCTCGTAACTGTAAGTCTCCGTCACCGCCATCTATTATACGGTTCCTCGTCATCCTCCACGATTTTCCCCTCTCATCGTCGCGATTTCGCTATGAATCAGCGAACGCAATACTCGATTTCAATATCGTTGCGCAAGCCGACCGATATACATTTCTACCAAGATAGATTAATCTCGGTTTTAGTTTACTATATTTATCCTTTTCTAATTTTTAGTACCAGAAAAAGAGATAAAATAAATTAAACCAAGATTAAAGTTAATCTACATTGGTAGAAACAGGCACTAGAGAGAATCTCGATACTCTAAAAAGTGAAATCTCATTCTTGAGGACTGAAAATTAAGTCACTCTTTTTCAAAAGATTAAAGTTACGTAGTTCTAGTCTTCTTGCTACCAATATAGTTTAATTTTAATCTCGGTTTAACTAACTCTTCATCTTTTTCCAGTTCTGAGAATTAGAAAAAGATAAAGAGTAAGTTGAACTGAGATTAAAGTTAATCTACGTTGGTAGAAACGGGCCTTAAAGTGAGATTCCATTTTAAAAAATTTAGAGAATATACTAGTAGAAATAAATCTTCTTCTAATTCTTATTCTTCTAGTTTTACGAATTATGCCTGTTTATACCAAGCAATGTAGAATTAACTTTACTCTTGATTTGACTTACTTTTCATTTTTTTTTCTAGTTCTATGAATTAGAAAAAGATAAAGGAGTAAGTTAAACCGAGATTAAAGTTAATCAACGAGGTGTTTTAAAATCTCAAATGTGAATACACAACTGAGTAACTAAAAGTTAAGTTAAAGTTAATTAACATTGATAGAAATAAACCTGATGCCCGTTTCTACTAATATAGTTTAATTTTAATCTCGATTCAACAAAAGCTTCATTTTTTTCTAAAAGTTAAAAAAAGATAAAAAGTAAGTAAGAGCTAAGATTAAAGTTAATCTACATTGGTAAAAATAGGTATGAGTTGATTTTTCACGCTATCATATTACACGTGTCTGATTAAAGTATTATCGAGATAATCGCGCAGACTTCGCTGCCCATGTTTGAATGGAATGCGTTTAAATGGAAAGAGGAAAAAAATGAGCAAAATCTTTACAGGAATTACGCGCGCTCGCTGACAAATCGTCGGCTATACAGATCATCGAGATAGGTAAGCCAAAATTCTTGCTATTCTGTTACGAATTGCGGATTAAACTTAACGGTATAAATTAGGTCATTATTCGCTAAATTTACGTCGATTAGCACAGAGAAATTTGAAATTTTTTAATCGTTCGACGGAAAGAATTGATACTTTTTAATACTTTTATCGTGGTGAAAAAAATGTTTTGTAAAAAAAAAGAAATGAGATGCAAGACTTGCAATAATTATATCTGATGAAATCTCTCGAAATTTTGATATTTCAATTGTGTGATTCATTTTTTATTCTGTAAAGTGCATGACGCGTAAAGTGTATCATTTTATCTTTGTTTTATTTAACATTCGGTGAACAGCAAGGATAACATGATATATCATGCGCATTATGCGTTTTACGGAATACAGCCTAAGAATGCTGGATTCTTTAAATATCAAGGCTATACATGCATAATAAAATCATTGTAAAGTTTCAATATTATTTTTGTTGAAATTTCAATCCTTGTTAGAATATTTAACGGTGAAAATGATTTGTAAATTAACTTTCCTAGATCTAATTTTGTAACAATTTTTAAAAGCGTAAATAAGGGTTTAGTCTTATAATATTTCGTTTGCAAATCACTGTCGTGAAGAGCGAATATTACACTGTAATAATATTCTATTCGAAATGTAATTGCAACAATTGTATAATTCTAAATTGAAATTTTTAATTTTCTTTTGTTCACCATAAACTTCAATGATTTGAATCAAATGAAGATCGATTGTTCAGATTTAAATTAAAAATCAAACTAGATTGCAATTAAAAGAATTCGAATTGTAAAAATTTCGTTTGTTTTCTGAATTTTATTGACAATGAGATTCGTACTATTCTTTAAGCGTGTTAACCAAAATAGCTAAACAAATGCACATAAATTAAAAAATATATAACTGGTTATACCAGTTATAGCGCGATGATGAAATCACGCATACGACAATGACGTAAAACAATGACATAAACAAAATTTCAACAGTTTAATTTTAAGATAGGAACACGTTATGGTGATTGAGTATTTGTACAGAAGCATGTTTAAATTCCCGGTTAAAGAAAAATGCTAATATCTTACTTGTATGTGACGTGGGAAGAATATTTTTCTGCTTTTCTTGATTATCCACTTTATTATCGACGTTGCTGTCTATCTCCACTTTGTTCTCCGCTTCGTTTTTTATTTCATTCTCCATATCGTCTTCCGTTTTGTTCCGGACTTTATTTTCTACCTTTTCTATCTGGTCCTCCATTTGATTCTCCACCTCAACATGATTCTCCGTTTTGGTCTCCAGTTTATTCTCTGTCTTGTCCATCTGATTCTCTACTTTATTTTCTATTTTACTCTCGATATCATCGTCCGTTTTACTTTCCGCTTTATTTTCTACTTTGTCTACTTCATTTTCTATGTTATTCTCGATGTCATCCTCCGTTTTAGCCGGCAGTTTAGTCTCTGTCTTGTCTATCTGGTTCTGCACTTTGTTCTCCACTTCATTCTCGATAACACTTTCCCTTTTGCTCCATTCTTCTTTATTCTCTACTTCGTCTATCTGGTCTTCTACCTTGTTCTCCACCTTGTTCTTGACATTGTCCTCCGTGTTGGTCTCCAGTTCATTCTCCGTCTTGTCTATCCGATTCTCTATTTTGTTCTTCACTTTGTTTTCCACTTCAGTCTCAACATCACCTTCCGTTTTGTTCCTCTCTTTATTCTCTACTTCGTCTGTCTGACTCTCTATTTTAACATCGTCCTCTGTTTTGACCTCCGATTTATTCTCTGTCTTGTTCCTCTGGTTCTCCACTTTGATCTCCACTTCATTCTCTATATCACCCTGCGTTTTGGTTCCCACTTTATCCTCCGTCTTGTCTACCTGGTTTTCCACCGTGTTCTCCACTTTATTCTCCACATCTCTCTCCATTTTATCCTCAGCTTTATTCTCGTCCTTGTTATTCAGCTGCTTCTTCGCTTTATTCCGCGCTTTGTGCTCCTCAACTTCTCGATCGCTCGAATCAGAATCGACGATTTGCGATTTTTCGCAACATATCAACCACGCTTTCGCCTTATTCAGTTTACGCGCTTTCATATTCGCGACCGTGCACCAGACAGATGCGAAATGAGGAAAAATAAAATCCGAATACAATCAAAACCGTCTACAGCGAAACACGTCGCGAACATTCCTATCGTAGAAAAAAAGACGCCATTTTGCTAAGCTTGATCGATACTAATCAACGTGCTATCTGATAACATCTAGCTTTAAAATTTTTTACTTAAGAAACGTTAAAGATTAATTCTTTCTTGCACGCGATAAGGAGATCAATTTTTTTTATTCTTATCGACGAGCGACATGCGACTTGTATTCGTTAAAATGTGATAATGAGAAGCATCACATTACTCGAAAAGTCAAATTCATCATGCGTTGATGCATGACATACAGAAATATATCTCTACGTTACATCTCGTATAATGTAATAATTTCATCGATCAATGTGAAACACTCAACGAGATAACAACATATATCACATGTTCTTCGTATTTCTTAAATAATTTAATAAATAAGAACAGTGTATTGCGAAACTGACTGATTCTTTAAATTCTTTTAATTCCTTCACACGCTTCGTTTGCCGCGGCCTTTTGTTTTATAATTAGCATTCCGCCAAAGTGGAACAATTCTTGCAACATGGCTAGCACTTTAACAGTCTAGAAATCTTTGAAAATAGATAAACTTGTTTTCGTCATTTACTCCTTTATCTGTTTTATAGATATTAAAATGAAATAAAAATAATTAACTAAGCTAAAACTTTTATATATATATATTTTTTTAGAAATATAGTTTTAACATGTATTCATTAGAATGAGCAAATATGTATTAATTTGAATGATAAGGTGACGAATTTTTCCAAAAGTCTTTCTTTTTTCCCGAAAGGATTATAAATTTTAATTAATGTGGTATCAAACTTGTGCTAATATTTATTTCATTATTTTATTAAAAATGAATTATGAATTATAACCTTATCACGTAAAATTGAAACAAAATTTCTTTAATTTTATTACAGTCTAATGAAAATATAAAAAGTGCTGTGTCACGCCATCGTGTTAGTAAGCCTTCATTGACATATGCTATACACCCATGCTCTGACAAATGCTTGTGTATAATATAAAAGAATCAAATTTATCAAATATTTACCGTGCACACAAAACTGACCTTTCTTTTCACAAACATCTAAGGCCTGTTCTTTTTGACTGAACTTTTGCACCAATTCATCTTTCTTCCTCCTGGAGACAAAAGGAAGAAAGATGAATTGGTGCAAAAGTTCAACTAAAAAGAACAGGCCTCTAGTTTAGCGATTTAGCATAAATCATCGAGTTCTAGCATCGATTGTTCGCGAAAAAACTTTACACTGCCTTTTTACAGATTTAACGGATACGGATAGCTACAAGAGGGTCGTAGATACGGTGAAGGAAAGGGTAAATGGCGCTGGTCTTAACGTTCTCTTCAACAACGCTGGTATTTCCAGTAAATTTACGCGTCTTGGTCTTGTAAAGAAACAGCAGATTACTGACGCTTTTCTCATCAATACCGTGGCACCGATTATGCTAACAAAGGTACACCTACAGTTCTTTTACATTCATGAATATTACATTACCGAATAACATCTGTTCATAACAGAAGTAATAATTGATTTAAGGCTTTCCTGCCGCTACTTAAAATAGCTGCGAAAAATTCCGAGGATAAAACGGGATTAAGTGTAAGAAGAGCAGCAGTTATTAATATGACATCTATCCTGGGCAGTATTACCGAAAATAGCGACGGTGGTTTTTATCCTTACAGATGCAGCAAGGTAAAACTTTAACCTTCCAGAACTGATAGTCTGTTGGGCCCACTTAATTATAAATCTCTTTGTCAAAAATGTCAATTCAATTTTCTTTATGTCACATCTACGTTTGGATTATTCTTATTACAATATATTTATATATTTTAGTATATTCTTTTTTATACGTATTAATGCACAGACTATGATATTATGTCATTTTAATTCCTTGAAATTAGTGCCACTTTAATTCCCTGAAATTAGTGCCTTTTAATTAATATAAATTAAATAGGTCTTACAGATGTTATTTTGGCATCAATTCCATCGATTTAAAACTTAAATATTGAAATGCATAATTAAGTTTTGATAAAATTTATAAAGTATATTATTGTATGTATAATTTATAAATTTTTAAGTTTTAAAATTAGGAAACCTACATTACACTTTGGAATTAATCAATACGCATCTTGTATCGTTAAACTTGAAACAATTTTGCGAAATCTTATTTAATCTCACTTACAAAACAGGCGGCGCTTAACGCGGCGACAAAATCGATGAGCGTCGATTTAAAAGCAGATGGGATTTTGGTGGCGTGTTTGCATCCAGGATGGGTGCGAACCGATCTGGGTGGCAGCAACGCTCCAATGGACGTCGACAACAGCGTCAGTTGCATTCTGAATACCTTAAACTCGTTAACGGAAAAACAAACCGGTTTTTTCGTACAGTATGATAGTAAAATATTGCCCTGGTAAAGTGATCAAATAAAATATTTAATAAATGAATTTTTTTTATACAATATTATATATGGATTTTTAAATACTTTAAATTAATATTAAACATACATTCTGCGTTTTTGTAAAAAAAATCATAAATATACATATATTTTAATTTGAAAAAACTGTAAAACAAGAATATTCTTCACGTTTTCGATTCGTTTCCTCAAATTTTAACTTAATGTCTCGTTAAACACAATTTAAGGAAAATTCACGATTTATGGAAATATTTTTACAAATTAAATATTTCCACAAATTACACGCACTGTTTTACATTTTGGAATACTCACTATAACAATTAGTAAGAATATCTTTAAATATAAAGATATTCTTACTAACATTTATATCTTTATACAAACATACTACAAATGTTTTATAATATTTTTAAGCGATGTATAATATGCACTGATTAAGAGATCAACTATTTTATTCGTATGAGTCCAAGCTTATTTTGTACATGTCACGGTGCTATAACGCAGAGGAATGCAAGTTCTCCTATAGTATTAATGAATAAAATGATATTCGAGATATATACAATGATTTTTAAGGACTATCAGAAGCGTGAACTGTATATAAAGGTATGTCTTTTTAGCACTTGACTTTTTTGTTTTTGCAAAATTAATTATAATACTATTCAGTAGTTTGCACGGATACTTCTTGATGCAACAATAATCATTATAGCAAGAAAAGTATAGTTTCGAAAAAAAAATAATACTGCAGTGTGTAAGTGTTACTAATTAATTGCCGCGAATGTACAATCCGCTTTTATTATCAAGCATTTTTCAATGTTTGAAGTCACTTTTACAATCTCATACTCTAGAATCTTTAAGTTAAGAGTAGAACATATACATATATATTACTTTATTGTTTCTGAAACGTGTTACAATCACCTCATACTCTTTCACTGAAAACTTTTAATTTTTTAATCAACTTCTTATAAACTGAAATATAAATCGAGGATCGAGATTGAACTCAGAACCTACTGACGAATTAATTGTTTCTACTCAGACTACGCATCACTTTTAGCAAGATTATATAGAAACAAGAATTTAATAAACCGATTGGGATGGCGTGTAATGCGGTTGATTTGTAATCAACAGATCTCAAGTTCAATTCCAAACTTCATTATTCTATATGCATTGTATAAGTAATTGATTCAAGGATTAAATATTTAATATAAAAACAACATACATACATAAACGGATTGAGCACTCGCCTGATGTTATATTCAATTAATCGATCATTGTTTCTAATTTCTAAATTCAATAGGGAAGCTCGTAATAAATTCATATGTGAAAAAATAAATTCCGTTATACATAATTTAAAATGTTTCATAGGATCGATACTATTTGCACTTACATAAGTATATGTATGTATATATAATATATATATAATATATATATAATATATATATAATTTATATCTCACTAAATTTGAACGAAACAGAAAAGAAACTTTTCTTGTGAGCCATATTGAGAAGTCATAATCAAAAATTTATCAAGTGCAAGTTCACGAGAAAGAGATAGATTCCTAAATGTCACAATCCCTATACAACATGATTATTGGCGGTGATGCTTTTAAGTCAAACATTAGTCAGTCTTTAATCTCTTAGGTGCAGGTTCGCTGTTTTGTGAATTCGAGTCTTCTGAAAAGCCCAAATGTGCAGAGAAATCTGTCAATCCTTGAGAATCACTAACAGTAGAGAAACCTAGTGTGTAAAAAAAATCCATATTTCATGTTAATCAACGACAATAATTTTCACAAACAGTTTCCACAAATTACTAAAACCAAACTCACATGTATTGGAATCTTCTGTAAGACCGAAATTGGAATTCGATGACTCTATTCCTCCTTTCCTTGGTAAACCATTTTCCTTGTCAGAAACTGTCTTTCCTTTTTTCTTCTATAAAATAAAACAATTTATTCTTAACTATTTGCTTTGATGAATTTTAATCAGTATGTATCATATTCTTGCGTGAAATACCTGATCGAGCGTCGAAATTGGAACCCATTTATATATTTTCATAGTTGTTTCTCCTATTGTGACCCATTTCTTTTCCCTGCGATCATATATGTATTCAGAATTCTATCCATTTCTTTTAATAATTAATTTAAGAGCAAATAGAATGTAAGAGCAAAAACATTCGTTGTGCAATAAAAAATAAAGGAAAGATCTTTCAGTTTTCATAGCTAAACCATGTATTATTAAGTATACATTTGTCCTTGTTTCTGTGACAAATTCCATCACTCTATCCAAAGTTCAACTATGAAATCTTCAATCGAATTGACAATATTTTTATCCGAACATTTGTTTTTAGCAGATTAAAAGCTTCTGTCATACAGCTTTCATATAATTTTGAATATTTTGATACTCGAAACGAATATTTCAACTTCGAACATTAGTAACTGTCTCGCAGTCTTTTATCAATACGTACATCCGATATCACGCCCTTCTGATAATTAAACAAAACAAAAGCACTGGTTTCACTTTTTGTGTATGATCCATGAGCATCGAATACGATAAATGACAAACGTAAGACCTGTCAATTCCATTCATTCGCCTTTTTCTCTCCCTCCGACACAACACAGGAAACTTACCAATGACGGACTTTATCAACTACTTGCATTACACGTTTAATGTCATCCTTGGCACGACTACGAGTCTCCGCGCGTACTGACCGCGACATCATGTTATTTGTTCACGCGCGATTAAATTACCGGGAATCAATTAATGCACCAGTTACGCGGCACTGCACGGCACCAAAGATACCGGGACATCCGTGGGACAAAAGCAGCGAGAGGTTAAGAAAGGTGACAGAAACCAAGAAGTCCAAGAACCTCTAATAACACCCACGATTCCCACTTCTACATTCAACCCACTGAGCTCGATACATACTGGAGGGAGCCATCAGCATGAAAACGGTGGTGGGAGGCGGCCCGACTGTGCGAGAGTGACAGCCATGCCCGATGGGTATCTCTGCTTCACTTTGGTAGTATTACCATCGTTAAAAACATTAGCCTCAGTTGTGCCTGCGAGATGTTGCAAGATATTGCCAGATACGTCCTGTTTGTTAAAAAAATAAAAAATAAAAAATGGTTCATCATTGCCTAATAAATAATTGCAAAAGTATTGGGATAAAAGACGATGTTACTTTTCATAGGTAAATATAATTAAAATTATTTAAAACGTGTACGTATATACTGCGATATACTGTTACATTATTTCAAGCTCTAAAACGTCTTCTCCGAGGAAAATTTTACTCGAAATATATAATCACATAATGTATACTATATCATATTGAGTAAAATTTTTTTCGGAAAGGACGTTTTGGAATTTAGCCTCAGATAACCCAGTCTGTACAGATAGGTTAGCGGAATATCTATGCGATCAATGAATAAATATCGCCTTTCATTAAAATACTTTTGCAGTTATTTATTAGGCAATGATGTACTATTTTTTTATTTTTTATTTTTTTAACAAACAGGACTTGCATCTTATTGGCATATTCCGTTAAAACTAAAAATATAGACCAAACAGATTCAAGAGCTCACTGAGCGCTTAGTAAGCGGTCGTGGTACTGAATGCACTCAATATCTCGCAGGCACAACTGAGGCTAATGTTTTTAGCGACGGTAATACCACTAAAGTGAAGCAGAGATACCCATCGGGCATGGCTGTCACTCTCGCACAGTCGAGCCGCCTCCCACCATTGTTTTCATGCTGATGGCTCTCTCCAGTATGGCTACGTTTACACCGTGCATTTAGGCCGCAGCCTATACAATAGATGTCCTTGCTTATCCTGTAGGTTAAACAAAGACACCTATCGTATAGGTCGCGGACTAAGTATACGGTGTAAATGTAGCTTATGTATCGAGCTCAGTGCTTCAACCCCTTTGGGTCTTCTACTTTTTCTTTCTCTGATGGCCGAGCTACTAGCGATCCATGAAAATCTTGTAATCGTTCAACCATTAAAGCGAGCTCCTTATCTCTTGTTGCTTGTGCTTTTAAACCAAGTTCCTTTAATTCAGGAGATGTGGTAGGTCTCATTGGTATATTGTCAATATCCAAACATGAATAATCAGTGTACTTTGAGTCTAGCTCATCTTCAAAAAACTGTGATTCTTTCATGATATTAGATTCTTCCATGGTGTCTCGACTATTGAAAAATGACATCAAAGGGGTTAGAAAAACTAAGGGTAATTATGGACACCGACGAGATATTATTAAAGACTGACATCCTTATAGGAGTTCGCGTCCTTGTTAATATTGAA